GCTGGGGCGGCGACGGCGGCTGCCCCTGATCACTCTGCCGCCGGGCCGTCAGTGCACGCAGCTGGAAGCGGATCGACCCGCCGGCCGAGACAGGTGGGCTGTGGCGCAGCCCCCGCCAGGCTGCTGTGCAGGAAGCCCGGCGGGCCCACCGTCCCATGTCAGAGCCGGGTAGGGGACCCCTGCGGTCAGGGCTAGCGCCAGGACGCTAGCGGCAGATCCGCCAGCTCAGGTCAGAAGGGACCTCCGCCTGGAGGGACCGGGCCACCCGAGGGCTATGCCTGACGGCGGGAGCTGGCCCGGTCCGTCCTCCCCGCCGGGTGTCGGGGGTGTGTTAATCCAGATTTGAGGGACCCTCTGTCCGAAGGTGTAGGGAGTTGGGGGTACCGAAGGACTAGCCGATGCTTCCGGCAATCGATCGATGTTGGTCTGACAAATGGGCGTGTGATGGGCAGGGTGAGCAATAACATTTTAGTTTGCTTTTGGACGTACATATTTTTATTGAATGTAATTCACATACCACAAAAGTCACCTTTTGAAAGTACAATTAAACTCCAACTCAGTGGGTTTTAGTATATTCACGTGGTTGTGCAGCCGTCACCACTGTCTAATTCCAGAACGTTTTATCCCCCAAAGAAGCCCGTGCCCATTGGCAGTCACCCCACCCCTACCATTACTGATCTGCTTTCTATCAACGTGGATTTGCCTGAGCAATTGTGTTTTCACTGCTTGGTGAAAGGGTGGGTGTTTGTGAACTGGGGACTGTAGTGGGATGATGCGGCGGATCCGATCAAAGTACCGAAAAGGAGTAGAGAAGTAATGGGGTGATCGTAATAGGGCCGGCAAAGAGGTTCCCAGGATAGACTGACCACGGGTTCAGGTGGAGTGGGATTCTTGAAAGGGCAAGTTGGAGAGAGAAGTGTGCAGAGAAAAGGTGCTGGAGTGAATGGGGGGTGTGTGTGTGTGTGTGTAGACGAGTGTGACCTTACCACAGGAATCCAGGTGCTTGAGCTGGTGAGTTGGGGGCTCAGGAGAGAGCTGGAGGTGGGAGGAGAATCTATGCGAACAGGTGAATGGCTGCTGTGGAGGATGAGATATGTAAACGTATGGATTTCTGGATTGATTGTTCTGCTTTGCATTTTTTATCTTAGATAAAATCCTCAGAGATAGAATAGGTAAATAGGAATATTCCCATTCTGCAGATGAAGAACCAGTCTTTTAGAGATTGGATGACTTGCTTAAGCACATCAAATTAGGACAAAATAGGCCAAAATGACTTGGAATTAAAAAATAATAATAGATGAAACTGTCAATTGAGGTGGGCAATGTTAACTGGAAGGAGGTGAGGGGCCTGCTCTGGTGTGGTGGTTAAAGGCACTGGATTCCCTCATGGCTGACTGCATTTCAAGTCCTGGAGCTGGTGGCTTGCTTTCTTAATTTCTCTCTCTCTTTCTCTGATCAAACTGGAAAATAATAATGTTAAATAAAGTAGTTCTTTAAAAAAAAATACGAAGCAGATAAAACAGAAGTTAATGTTGCTGTATGAGAGGACACCAAAAAGTTTGTGGACAAATACAATTAAAGTGCAAGTTTATTTTGGTGCAAAAAGTTTTGAAGTCCATGCAGTTTTCTCATAACAGGTATTTTCCATGAACTTTTTGAAGACCCCTTGGATGATATAAATAAATCAATATTGTTATGACAGATAAGTCAACTTTTGTTTTGTTTTCATACTTAAAAAATTACCAGAGGCCACATACACTCACCAGAGAGAGAAAATGAGAAAGCACCCGCATGAGGAGTGGTCATGCACATATGCCTAGCATGGTTCCCAAGATGCTGGGCCCAAGTCTTGAACTCCATGGTCAGTCATGTGGGATCTGGCTACTTTAACCACCATGTCAGGCTGACCTGGAACTTTTTTTTAAAAAGAATTATTAATTTAATTTTATTTATTCATTCATTTATTTAAATTTTAAAAAGAATTATTAATTTAATTTTATTTATTCATTCGTTTATTTAAATTAGACCAGAAAGAGACAGAGGGAGAGAGAAAGTGAGAAAGCAAGCCATCAGGTTCAGGCCTCAAACCGTGGTCCACCCTGTGGGAGTGTTTAGCTCCTTAGTCACCACGCCACCTGCTGGTCCCTGACCTTGAACTTTTTAAAAGTAGAAAAGTTCGAACAGTGAAATAATATTATGTCCTGCCATTTACCCATTACCCAACTTCAACAAGTATTCACTCATGCCAATTTAGCTTCCTTTATCCCTGTCTATTCCTAATTCTACCCCCATTATTTTCAAGGAAATCTACCATTTTATTGCTGAAACATTTCAATATGTATCTGTAGAAAAATGGGTTGAACCTCTGTCTTTAATATGCCTACAGTATCATTATTACCCTTATAAAAATTAATAGTAAGACGGGGACAGTAGATGGTGTGATGGTTAGAGGTGCTGGACTCCCACATGGCCAGCCACAGTTTGAGTCCCAGACCTGGCAGCTAGCTTTCTCACTTTCTCTCAATCTCTCTCGCTTAGTCCCTCTCTGGTCAAATAAAAAAAAAAATTAAGTAAGTAAATAAAGTTAAATAAAATGTCAAGAATAGTAAGCTTAGTACTATCAGTATCTAGAACTTATTTTTCAAAATGTAATATCCATTGGATACAAAGGAATAAGCAGTGTAAACACTTTTATGTTTGACTCTGAAAAACATAGCATAATTGTCTCCTGACTTTTTCTGGTAGATCCTGCAATCCTGACTTTCATTTTGTGATTAATATGTCTCATTCTTTCACAGAAAATTTGAAGAATTGTCACTGGTTGGCTTTTTTTCCCCTTAAAGTTATTATTTATTTTATTTTATTAATATTATTGTTCTTCAGTTTGACCAGGGAGAGACAGAGGAAGAGAGAAAGAGAGAAAGCCCCCCACTGGTTGACTTTTTAATGAATGGAGTTTTGTGAGGGCAGGAGAGGAATACAAATGAAATAGGCTGCAGTGTACACAGAAAACTCTTCCAGTGCTGCAATCATCGGGTTGTCAGAAAAGTCATGACACATTTTTAGCATAGGAAAACAGAAAAAAGCTGTTATGACTTTTCAAGCAACCCAATATTTGGGCATCTTAATTACGCTTTATGTAATTTCATATATTGTTAGCAGTTGTTTAATGTGTCTATGTTTGTTTGCTATGACTGCTGTTATAAATTCAGTGGTTTAACGCAGATGTATTATTTTATAGTTTTGTAGGTTAAAAGTCTAAAATGTCTCTCACTGGGCTTAGCTCTGTGTCGGGAGGACAGAACCCAACTCTCTAGGGGAGGATACATTTCCTTGCCCCTTGTACCTTCTGGAGACTGCCATGTTTCTTGACTTGTGACCTTCTTCCTCCATCTTCAAAGCCACTAACATTGCGTTTCTTTGGTCATTCTGTAGTCATGTCTGACCACAGCTGGAAAAAGTTATTTGTTAAAAATTTTTTTTAGGTTGTTGCCATAGGGTGCGTGTACTCACCAGAGAGACACAGAGAGAAAAGGTAAGAAATCATTCCCCGGGGTGGATGGCCATGTCGCAACCCCTTCTCCACTCTCTTCTTGGGATTTTGGGCTCGTGTGCACAAGTACCTGGCATGATTTTCAAGCCTCCAGGTCTGGGAATTGAACTGTGGTGGGCTATATGGGAGTCTAGTACCTTAACCCACCCTACCTGCTGGCCCTGGTTCTCTGCTTTTAAGGACCCATGTGATTAGATTATGTCCACTCGGATAATTCAGAATAATTTTCCCAAATCATGATCCGAAATTTAATCCCACTTGCAAAATCCTTTTCCGTAGGCAGCATAATCATAGATTTCATGGATTAGGATGTGGAGATCTTTGGAGGTTTTTTCGCCTACCACTGCTAATGTGTTTCGGAATATTTTGCTGAGACTTAAGAAAGTAGGTGACTGGAGCCAGCAAATGGTATAGTGGGTTGAAGTGCTGGACACTCATGTGGTCAACTGTGGTTCGAGTCCTGGGCCTGGAGGTTTGAAACTCATGCCGGGTGTGTGTGTGTGCATGTCCAAAATCTTGAGAGGAGAATGGAGGAGAAGGGACTGCAGCATGGTGAATCCCCCAGGGGGTGATTTCTCACAATCTGTCTCTCTGTCTCTCTCTGTTTCTTCAGTGAGCAGATGCACCTTTTAGCAAAAAATCTCTCAAAAAAAATGAAAATAGGTAATTTCCTTCGCTTAGGGTTACAGATGATGGGAATAATTAAAACTGGAGAGACTCCATCATTTTTCCTTTTAATTACTATAAATAAGCACAGTAATGCATTGATTAACATCAGGGGTACGCTCTGAGAAAAGCACCATTTTGGGATCTCTTTGTTGTGCAGACATCATGGAGCATACTTAGAGGACCTAGCCAGGATCGCCTACTACGTACCTAGGGTACATGGCATAGCCCGAGTGCTCCTTACGATACTACCCCTGTGAATGTGGTCTGTTTCCTGAAATGTCATTATGTGGCACAGGACTCTATGTAGGAAATATCTGTGACACTTGTAATGTAGGCTTTGGTAAAATGAGACCTTTAAAACTAATTAAACATTGGGGGCCAACAGGTGGTGTGGTGGTTAAGGTGCTGGACTCTTCATGTGGCCTACTGAAGTTCAAGTCTCAGACCTGGCACCTTGCTTTCTTGCCTTCCTCCTCTTTCTCTCTGTTTCTCTTCTGGTGAGCACGTGTACCCTATAGTAAATAAAATAATAATAATGATAAATAAAATTAAAGAAACAATTCTTTTTTTTGAGAGGTTTTTGCTATAGGGCGTGTGTGCTCACCAGACAGAGAGACAGAGAGACAGAAAGCGAGAAATCACACCCCCGTACCCTATAGTAAATAAAATAATAATAATGATAAATAAAATTAAAGAAACAATTCTTTTTTTTGAGAGGTTTTTGCTATAGGGCGTGTGTGCTCACCAGACAGAGAGACAGAGAGACAGAAAGCGAGAAATCACCCCCCCAGGGGGGATGGCCATGTTGCAATCCCTTCTCTTCCATTCTCCTCTCGAGATCTTGGGCACACATGCACACGTACCCGGTGTG